TCTGTCCCAGGGATCTGTCCCAGGGATCTGTCCCGATGCTCTGTCCCGGGGCTCTGTCCCCCTCCAGCGGTGGCTGCCGCGTCCTTGTCCCAGCGCTGTCGGGCGGCAGACCCGCTGTCCTGGGACACGCGGTGTCCTGGGATGGGCAGTGTCGTGGGAGGGGTGGTGTCCTGGGATGGGCAGTGTCCTGGGAGGGGTGGTGTCCTGGGATGGGCAGTGTCCTGGCACACGCGGTGTCCTGGAATGGGCGATGTCCTGGCACGGGCAGTGTCCCGGTACAAGTGCCCGGGGACAGGGGATATCCCGGGACAGGCAGGGGGTTCCCGGGATTTGTGTTGTCCCGGATTGTCCTGGGACAGGCGTTGTCCCCATCCCTTATCCCCACGTCCCCCACACCAACCTCCCGCTCCATCCCAGCAGGAAAACACGGGACCCCCCTGCCAAGCACCCCCCCACCATCGACCCCCAGCGGGGCCCCGACTGGGACGGGCGGTGGGTTCCGAGGTGCCCCCAGTCCGGGGCACTGGGGGTTCCCTGGGGGCACTGGGACTGTTTGGGGTCATCCTGCCTAATTACGCCGGATCCCCCCTAAACCAGCCCCCCCCCCCCCCCCCCCAGGGCTCGGGGGGGCTGCGCAGCTGCCCAAAATCACTCCTCTAATGGCACCTGCGTCTCTGTGATGCCCTTTTAATCCTATTAGGGAGTCAGGCTCGGGGGGAAAGGGGGGGAAATATGGATAAAAGGGAAGAAAATGAGCTTTTCGCAGACCCGGCGTTGTTGGGGGTGACCCGCAGCACCTGCAGCCCCGCGGGGGGCTGCGGCCATCGCCCCCCCTCAGGCCTGTCGCTGTCCCCCGCCCCCCCCTCCCAGGGGCCACCCGGCTCCAATTAAAGCAGCGATTTGGAGGTTAATTAATACAAATGATGTCAAATATTACACTGATCAAACAAAAAGCCTTTGGCTTCCCCGCCCTGCCGTGGGCGCTGCATAAGAGAGCGGGATCCCCCCCCTCGGGGTTCCCCCTCCCCAGAGCCCCTCAGAAGGGGGTTTTCTTAACCCCGAGGGCTCCCCCCCTTCTTTTGTCTCTCCTCCCCGGGGGGTTTTCGGGTGAGCGCGGATCACATCCCCCCGCACACCCCCTCCCCTCCGTGTCCATTAATCCCCACTAATTGCCCCCCACCCGCCCGCTGCCCCGGGGGCTCCGCAGGTGTTTGAGGGAACATCTGGGATCGACGCCAAGCAAACCTCCTGCGAGTTCACGGGGGACATCCTGCGCACCCCCGTGTCCGAGGACATGCTGGGTAAGCCCCGCCCGCGGCTGAGCCCAGACACAGCTCGGGGCGTGGGTGGGGGGTCACCCAGGAGGGACAGTTTGGGGATATTGGGGGGGTGGGTTCAGCTCTGGGGCTGAGCACGTGACCCTCCCATCCCTGGAAGTGTCCAAGGCCAGGCTGGACAAGGCTTGGAGCAATTTGGGCTAGTGGGAGGTGGCCCTGCCCATGGCAGGGGTGGGACTGGGTGGGATTTAAGGTCCCTTCCCACCCAAACCGGTCTGGGATTCATTATGGCCGGGTGTGAGCCCCCCTCTATCCCCACAGACCCCCTGCACAGCTGGGTGCCGGTAGCCCCCCCCCTGGGCCCCCCCAGCCTCCCCTGGGGGTGTTCAACCCCCGTAAGCCACGTTAGAGGCTCCTGAGTGTCCCCCAGCGCCAGAGGGGTCACGGCCGGTGACGGGGGTCACTCGGGGTAGCGGGAGGGGGGACGCTGGGCTCCGGTGCCGCTCCGTGGTCGGGGGCCGCGTGTCTGCCGCGATCTCCATCCCGCCGTGGACGGATCCCGGTGCCCGGGGCTCGGCAGCGCCCGCGCCCCGCCGCAAAGGGCAGCGCAAAGGGCACGTGTCGAGCGCGGTTCGGCTGCCAGCGGTGACGGCCGGGCACGGGGAGGGACCTGCTCCGCTTCCCCCAGCCGGGGACCCCTGCTCCCGCAGCCAGGGACCCCCATTCTGCCCCAGCTAGAGACCCCTCCTGCCCCAGCCAGGGACCCCCAGCTCCCCACAGCCAGGGACCCCCTCCTCACCCAGCAAGAGACCCCCAGCTCCCCACAGCCAGGGACCCCCTCCTCACCCAGCAAGAGACCCCCAGCTCCCCACAGCCAGGGTCCGTCTGTCCCCGTGCAGGGTCCACCAGTGCGTCCCCCCAGGGCTCCCGCAGTGCCGCCCCTCAGCCCTGGCCGGGGTTCCCCCTCCCTGGTCGGGGTTCCCCCTCCCTGGCCGGGGTCCCCCCTTCCCTGGCCGGTCCCCCCTCCCTGGCCGGTCCCCCCTCCCTGGCCGGTCCCCGTGCGGGCTCGGGGCCGGGGCCGCGGCTCTGCCGTGCCCGCTGACCTTTCATGCTCCGCGCTCCGCGCCCCGGCCCTGCCATCACCCTGATCCGCTCTGACACCCGTGACGTGTCCCCGGCCCTGGTGGGGACCGGCAGAACGTCCCGTGGGGCGGCAGCGGGGCGGGGGGGCCGGGGGGGGGGGCGGCGTGTGGGCGCAGCGGCTTCGTGGGGATCGATGCCGCGGCTCCGAGCCGGTCGATGAGGCTGAGAGGGAGCGGTGATGCCGTGTGACCCCCCCCCTTGGGCAGGTTGGGGGGGTCTCGGTGTCACCCCCCCCCGCCCAGGAGCGGGGGACCCCAAGGGAGAGGTGATGGGGTGGCTGGGGACATGGGAAGGGGGTCCCGGGGCTCTCGTCCCCATGGGCTGGCACCTTCTTGCCACAAGAGCTGTGGTGGCACCCAGCCCCGGGTGACATCGCCCACCCCACGCGGTGACACGGGCACACCTCGTTCCCTGGAATGGGGTCTGGGGGTGCCCACAGCCCCCCTGGTGCCAGTTCCTCTGCTCCCCACCCACAGCGCCCCAGCACCGGTACCGGTGTCCCCTCTGGGCACCCCAGGGGTGTCCTGTGGGAGCGCTGGGGACCGGGATCGGGATGGGGACCGGGATCGGGATGGGGACCGGGATCGGGATGGGGACCCTGCCCCACGCCCACGGGCTGGCAGGTGCCCCCCGGCAGCCTCCCTCCCCCCCCGGCTGGTGGCCCCGGGCAGGGACGAGCCCCTCTGTCCTTGCAGGTCGGGTGTTCAACGGCTCCGCCAAACCCATCGACAGCGGCCCCGCGGTGATGGCCGAGGACTTCCTGGACATCAACGGTGACGGCTCCGGCCCCGCGGGGCTGCCCCGGCCGGCCCTGGGAATGCGGGAGGGACTCGGGGACAGCCTGGCACGGGGGGGTAGCGCTGGTGGTCAGAGCAGCCCCGTGGTGTCACCCCATCCGTCCGTCCATCCTTCCATCCCTCCCTCCATCCGTCCATCCGTCCCCACGGGGGTGCCCCGGGGGAGGTGTCCGAGTGCCAGGGTGGTGCCTGTCCCACCCCAGGGCTGGGGATGCTGCCCCAGGAGCTGCTCCCTCCTTATCTCCGGAATTTGTTCCCTAATTTCTGGCACCAGCGGGGGCGAATGAGGCCGCCCCACCCCCGGCAGTGTCCAGGGCCGTGCCGGACGGGGCTCGGAGCAACGCAGGCTGGTGGAAGGTGTCCCTGGGTGGAACTGGATGGGCTTTAAGGTCCCTTCCAACCCGCCCCATTCCATGACTCCCCCTTTCCCGGGTGCCCCCCGTCCCTGTCCCGCTCCAGGCCAGCCCATCAACCCCCACGGGCGCATCTACCCCGAGGAGATGATCCAGACCGGGATCTCGCCCATCGACGTCATGAACAGCATCGCCCGCGGGCAGAAGATCCCCATCTTCTCTGCTGCCGGGCTGCCCCACAACGAGGTGGGGGCCCGGGGGGGCAGGAGGAGGGATTTGGGGGGGGCTGGAGCCTCTCTCCTGCCCCAGGGGAGCCCCGGCAGCTCGTGCCTCGGTCTCTCTGCTGACACAGCGAGGGGGAAGCAAACCCTGAGCGCCAGGAGCTGGGGGGGAAGGGAATCTGGGCTGATGTGGGGGCCCAGACCGGGCTGGGGGGCTGCAGAGCACCCCAAATCCCTGCAGGAGCAGCCGTGACACGGGGGGCAGAGCAGGAGGGGCTGGAAGTGCCGGAGGGGGATGGGATGGGATGGAAACAGCTGGGCGGTGACAGCAGAGGGTGACCACGGGCACGGCACGATGGTGTCACAGGGAGGGGGACACCCCGCTGCCCCCCGACCCGTGGGGTGGGCACCCCCCGTGGGCTGGGTGGGCAGCTGGGGGTGCGGGGGTCCCTCCTGGGGTGCCCTCTCCTGTCTCCGTGCCCTGTCCCCGCTGCCACGGGGCCGTGTCCCGGTCCCGGGGGGGCCGTGTCCCCTCCGGGGGGTCCGCGCTGCCCCCTGCTCTGTCCCCCCTAGATCGCGGCGCAGATCTGTCGCCAGGCGGGGCTGGTGAAGAAGTCCAAGGATGTGGTGGATTACCACGAGGACAACTTCGCCATCGTCTTCGCCGCCATGGGGGTGAGCGGGGCCAGCCCAGGCACAGCCGCAGCTCTGCCCCGCCCTGGCCCGGTGTCCCCGGCCCCGCTGAGCGCTGTCCCCGCCCCGGGCAGGTGAACATGGAGACCGCCCGGTTCTTCAAGTCGGACTTTGAGGAGAACGGCTCCATGGAGAACGTGTGCCTGTTCCTCAACCTGGCCAACGACCCCACGTGAGACACTCCCCTGGCTCCGGCACCCGCTCCTCCTCCTCCTCCTTCCTCCTTGTTCCTTCTCCTTTTCCTTCTCCCTCCTCCTTTCTCCTCCTTTTTCCTTCTCCTTCTCACTTTTCCCTCCTCCTCCTCCTTCTTTCTTATTCTTTCTCCTTCCTTCTCCTTTTTCCTTCTTCTTCTCCTTCCTCCTCCTCCTTCCTCCTTCTCCTTTTCCTTCTCCCTCCTTCTCCCTCCTCCCTCTTTCTTCTTCTCCTTCTCCCTCCCCCCTCTTTTTCCTTCTTGTCTTCTCCATTTTCCTCCATTTTCTTTCTCCTTCTCCTTGGCCTTTCTCCTTCTCTTTCTCCTCTCTCCTTTCTCCCTCTCCTTTTCCTTTTCCCTCTCTTTCTCCCTCTCTTTCTCCCTCTCTTTCTCCTTGCTCCTTTCTCCCTCTCCCTTTCCTTTTCCCTTTCCTCCTTCCTCTCCTTTCTCCTCTCTCCTTTCTCCCTCTCCTCTCCCTCCTCCTCTCCCCCCACAAGGCCCTGCCCACTCTCAGGTGGGTCAGGGGGGCTATTCTGGGACCCCAAAGCTGCGGGTCCCTCCCCTCCCCTCCCCAGGATCCAGCCCTGCCCCGGGGGCTGCAGAAGCGGGAGGACCCCCCTCCTGCCCTCCCGGCCCCCCCAGTCCTGCTCTGCGGGGACTGACGGTGCCCCGGGGGGTGCCCCCCGTGCCCGGCAGGATCGAGAGGATCATCACCCCCCGCCTGGCGCTCACCACGGCCGAGTTCCTGGCCTACCAGTGCGAGAAGCACGTGCTGGTGATCCTGACCGACATGAGCTCCTACGCCGAGGCCCTGCGGGAGGTCAGCGGGGACTGTCCCCATCCCTGGGTCCTCCCCGACTGGCAGGGGATGGGGACTGTCCCCATTCCATCCCCTGGGTCCTCCCTGGCTGGCAGGGGATGGGGACTGTCCCCATTCCATCCCCTGGGTCCTCCCCGGCTGGCAGGGGGTGGGGACAGGCCTGTTGGGGGGCCTGGGGTGCCCAGGGGACTCGGACTGCTCGGGGTGCCCAAGTAATTGGGGTGCTTGGGCTACCTGGAGTCCCCGGGGTGTTTGGGGTGCCTGCGGTGCTTGGGGTGCTCAGGGTGCCCAGGAAACCTGGGGTACTGGGGGTTCTTACAGTGCCTGGGGAGTTTGGGGTACTCAGGGTGCCCAGCACACCAGTGGTTCCAAGGGTACTTGGGGTTTTGGGGTGTTTGGGGTGCTTGGGCTTCCCAGGGTTCTTGGGGTGTTTGGGGTGCTCGGGGTGCCCAGCACACCTGGGGTGCCCAGGGTTCTTGGGATGCCCAGCACATGTGGGGTTCCCAGGGGGTTTGGGGTGCCTGGGATGTCTGGGATGCCTGGGACACTTGGGGTGACTGGAGTGCTCGGGGTGCCCAGGACACCTGGGGTTCCCAGGGGTTTTGGGATGCCGGGGGTGCTCAGGGTATCCAGGGTGCTGGGGGTGCCTGGAGTGCCCAGGACATCTGGGGTTCTTGGGGTGTTTGGGATGCTCAGAGTGCCCAGGACACCTGGGGTGCCCAGGGTTCTTGGGATGCCCAGGATATCTGGGGTTTCCAGGGTTCTCAGCATGTTTGGGATGCTCGGGGTGCCCAGGACACGTGGGGTTCCCAGGGCTCTTGGGGTGCCCAGGACACGTGGGGTTCCCAGGGCTCTTGGGGTGCCCAGGACACTTGGGGTTCCCAGGGTTTTTGGGGTGCCCAGGATATGTGGGGTTCCCAGGGCTCTTGGGGTGCTCAGGGCGCTCGGGTTGCTGGGGGTGCACGAGGCACTTGTGGCACTGGTGTCCCCCGGTGTTCCCGGGGTTTTTGGGGTGCTGGAACCCCCCCAGCCCCAACGCAGCCCCCCCTGCAGGTGTCGGCAGCCAGGGAGGAGGTTCCGGGACGACGCGGCTTCCCGGGCTACATGTACACGGACCTGGCCACCATCTACGAGCGGGCGGGGCGGGTGGAGGGCAGGAACGGCTCCATCACCCAGATCCCCATCCTCACCATGCCCAACGACGGTCAGTGGGGCGCGGGGGGGGACTCTGGGGACACGGGGGGGACTCTGGGCACACGGGGGGCACCAGGGACGCAGGGGGAGGCTCTGGGGACACGGGGGGGACTTTGGGGACATGGGGGGCACCGGGGACACGGGGGGGACTCTGGGGACACGGGGGGGGCTGTGGGGACACGGGGGGCGCTCCGGGGACGCGGGGGGGACTCTGGGGATGCGGCGGGGCCGGGTCTGCCCCACGCCGGGACACCGCAAAGCTGGGAAATGCCGGATTGTTCCAACCCGGTTTTTGGGAGCTCCTGGGGTGGTGAAGCCCTGGGTGCTCACTGGGGTGCTTTGGGGTTATTGTCCCCCCCAAATCATCCCTCTGGGCCCCCCCAGCGGGAGAAGGGTGTCAGCCAAAGGGTGGGGTTGGGGGACATGGGGAGTACCCACGGGTGCCCCAGGACACCCCACCTGCCTGGGTGCCCCAGAGGGGACACAAACCAGCCAAACCACCCTTCATCAATTCCCCTTGGGGTGCCCGGCTCCTGGGCAGGGAGGTGACACCGAGAGCCCCCATAGCAGCCCCATGGGGGCCGTGCTGCCCCTGTGACCCCTGACGTGGGGCATGGCCGTGTCCCGAGCAGCCACACCCACAGGGGGGGCTCACAGCACCCTGGTTCCCCCCCAGACATCACCCACCCCATCCCCGACCTGACGGGTTTCATCACCGAGGGGCAGATCTACGTGGACCGGCAGCTCCACAACCGGCAGGTTCGTTCCCGAGCCCCTTCCCGGCTCCAGGGACGGATTGGGGGCCCGGAGACCACCCTGGAGCACCGGGATGGGGGTGGCCAGGGCAGGGGGTGGGTGCTGGACAGGTGCACATGGGGGTCCCTCTCGCCCTGCAGATCTACCCCCCCATCAACGTCCTGCCGTCCCTGTCCCGGCTGATGAAATCAGCCATCGGGGAGGGAATGACCAGGAAGGACCACGGGGATGTCTCCAACCAGCTGGTGAGGGCTGGGGGACATTGGGGGGGGGGATGGTTTGTCCCTTCAGAACCCTCTGCCCCTGCCTGGGGGGGCTCAGCTGAGACCCCCCTGCAGAGCTGCTCCAGCCCTGGGAACAGCAGCACAAGGACGTGGAGCTGCTGGAGAGAGTCCAGAGGAGGCCCCGGAGCTGCTGCCAGGGCTGGAGCCCCTCTGCTCTGGAGCCAGGCTGGGAGAGCTGGGGGGGTTCCCCTGGAGAAGAGAAGGCTCCAGGGAGAGCTGAGAGCCCCTGGCAGGGCCTGAAGGGGCTCCAGGAGAACTGGAGAGGGACTGGGGACAAGGGAGGGAGGGACAGGACACAGGGAATGGCTTCAGACTGGAAAAAGGGAGTTTTAGATGGAATATTGGGAAGGAATCCTTCCCTGTGAGGGAAGACCCTGGCCCAGGTTGCGCAGAGAAACTGTGGCTGCCCCTGGATCCCTGGAAGTGTCCAAGGCCAACCTGGCCTTGTGGAAGGTGTCCCTAGGTACCCCTGGGTGGGCTCTGAGGCCCCTCCCAAGCCCCCCCATTCCCGTGTCCCGTGGCTCTCCCAGTACGCCTGCTATGCCATCGGGAAGGACGTGCAGGCCATGAAGGCGGTGGTGGGGGAGGAGGCTCTGTCTGCCGATGACCTGCTGTACCTGGAGTTCCTGCACAAGTTCGAGAAGCAGTTCATCTCCCAGGGTGAGCAGGGGGCCCCACACGGGGGGCTGGGGGCTGGGACTGCCCCCCTGCACCCCCCGGCTCCTTCACCGCCCTCCCTCGCCAGGCCCCTACGAGAACCGGAGCATCTTCGAGTCCCTGGACCTGGGCTGGCAGCTCCTGCGCATCTTCCCCAAGCAGCTGCTGAAGCGGATCCCGGAGAACATCCTGGCCGAGTTCTACCCCCGCGAGGCCAAGGAGCCCGGGCAGGGCCCGGCGGGCACGGCCCTGTGACCCCCCCCCGGATCCCCCCGGAGCACCCGAGGGCCCCCGGAGGGGCTGCCTGGGCCGGGCTGCCGGGAGGGCACCGAGGGTGTCCCGGGACCGGGAGGAACCTGCTTTCCTTGGGGAATAAAGCGCTGTGGTACCAACCCCCTGTGCTCTGCTGCTCCTGCTGTGGCCCTGCCCTTCCCAGCCCAGGGACCCCTGGAGATCCCTGGAGACCCTGGGGTGCTCCGTGGAGCAGCAGCCCCTGCCCAGTCCGTGCTGCCCAATGCAGGCAGGGGTGCAGGCAGAGGTGCAGGCAGAGGTACAGGCAGCTACACACATCCCCCCACTGAGCTGCATCTCCTCAAACCCCCCCATTTCCATATTCTGGGTGCCCTGGGGGCTGCCCATGCCATGGGGGTCCCGCAGAGCTCCCTGGGCAGGGTCCCAGCACCTCCCCAGCCCGAGCACCCGCGGCCGGGGTGGGGCAGGTTTCGGTTCCCCCCTGCCCGGATCGGGGTCCCCCCTCCCGGGGGGGTCAGGGGGCGGTTTCACTTCCCTGCAGCGGCGGGAGGACGAGGCAGAGCCGGGGCAGGGCAGGGGCAGCTCCCCCCGCTCTGTGGGGCCGGGGCCGCAGCCCCACCATGGCCGGGGCCGGGCAGGGGCTCGGGGGGCCCCTCGCAGGTAAGGTCTGGCCCCGGGGGATCGGGGGGGGGCTCAGGCGTGGTCGGGGGTCTGTCTGTCTGTCTGTCTGCCTGCCTGTCTGTCCCCTGTGGCCACCACCGTGGCCTCCAGAGGGTTCCCAGTTCTCTCCACTGAGAGAGGGTTTGCAGGGTGTGAGACCAGCCCAGAACTGGGGCTGGAGGGGGATTTTCTCTCCCCAGCGGAGGGTCCTGGGGGTCTTCACTCACAACACCGTGGGTCCCACGGGGGGTGTAAGGTCCGGGGTGGGGAGGGGGGTGGATTACAAAGCGGGGAGGGGGTAAGGAAGCGAAGGAGACAGGTGGGATTTACATTCCAGAGCTCATGTCCCACCAGATTGGGGATTCCGGGAAGGGTGGGAGGTCGGGATGGGCCTCAGCCTCTCCGGGAGCTGCCCGGGGGGAGCCGGGTAAACAGCCCCCCCCAACATCCCCCCGCACCGCGAGGACCCCGGAGCACTTGGGGACAAGGGCTGTCCCCAGGCCCAGCATCGGGGACCCCCGGCCCCCCTGTGACTGTCCCCGGGGCTGCTTCCCCCGGTACGTGTGGGGGTCTCACAGCATCCCCCCCCCCCCCAAACCCTCCACTCCAGCACCCCGCGGGGACACCCAGGGCTGCCGGGGACCTACCAGCCCCCCGTGTCACCCCCCTGGCCCCCATGTCACCCCCTGGCCCCCGTGTCACCCCCCTGGCCCCCCATGTTCCCCCACACGCCCTGGGCCGGTTCCCTGCAGCCATCCTGGAGTCCGGGAGTAGCGCGGAGGAGGAGGAAGAGGAGGAGGAAGAGGAGGATGCAGAGACAGCTACGGGACAGGTATCGCTTCCAGAATCGTTTTCCGTTGGATTTCCCCCTCCCGCCCCCGTAACTCGAGGAGGGTGAAGGGCGGGTGTCCCTCGGGTCCCCCCCATCCCGGCTGGGTGCCCCCCCCGTGTCCCCCCCATCCCGACTGGGTGTCCCGGCTCCGGGGGCTGAGCCCGGGGGTGGCACAGACACAAGGTCCCCGGGGGTGGCAGCGTCCGGGCGGCTCGGGGCTCACCGAGAGACCTGGCAGCGCCGCGGCAATGGAATGCCAGTGGAATGCCTATGGAATGCCTATGGAATGCCGTGCCAATGGAAGGCCTCGTCTGCTCCATTCCCTGCTCTGCCAATGCAATGCCCTGACAATGGAATGCTATGGCAACATAAGGCCATGCAAATGGAACGCTGTGCCAATGGAACGCTGTGCCAATGGAATGCTGTGCCAGTGGAACACTGTGCCAATGGAATGCTGTGCCAGCCTAATGCTGTGCCAATGCCACGCCACGCCAAAGCAGGGCCGTGCCAACGCCATCCCAAGGCACTGCCATGGCAATGGAATGCTGTGCCAATGCCGTGCCAAAACAGTGCCCTGCCAATCAATGCTGTGCCAATGGAATGCCACCCCAGTGCCATGCGATGCCACACCATGCCAAAGCCGTGCTGTGCCAATGCAATACCCTGCCAACGCCAAGCTAAGCCAATGGAATGCTGTGCCAATGGAATGCTGTGCCAACCCAGTTCCTCATGCCCGTTTCTCCCCCAGCTGCACCCACTCCTCGACCCGGAGCTGGGCAATGCCGAGGGGCGGCTGGCACAACTCGAGGAAGGTGAGCCCTGTCCCACCCCTGTGTCCCACCCCTGTGTCCCATCTCTGTGTCCCACCCTGGCACATCCCTGTGGGGGTCTCGGGACAGCTGCAGCCCCTCACAGACCCTGTCAGTGATGGTGCCAGTGGGAAAATCCCTGCCCTGGCACGGAGCCGGGTGCCAGCCCTGCTCCTGGGTGACCTGGCTGGGCTCTACCGGCCACTGGGCGTGGGGGGCTGTGGGCAGGACCCACACTGGGGGCCTGGCGGGCACCCAAACCCCCGTGTGCCCCCGGCAGCATCGCAGGCACTGCTGGCAGAGCTGGAGGCGCTGGAGGCGGAGGTGGAGCTGGAGCGGCTGTGCCAGCAGCGAGTCCAGGCCTTTGTGGCACAGGTAGGGGGGGCAGCCACCCCACCACCCTCCCCTCGAGGGCACAGGGGTGCCAGGGCATCCCCCCGGCACGGCCGGCTCGGGGGGTGCGCTGGGAACCCCGATCCTGGGACGGGGGGTCTCTCTCCCCCTCAGGGGCAGCAGGAGAAGGCGCGGCCGAGGCGGCTCAGCCCGCTCCGGGCGGCCCAGGAGGGGACACCCCAGGAGGGGACACCCGAGGAGATGCCACCACCCGAGGGGGTGACCGCGGAGGAGAACCCCGACCCTGCCCCGCACTCCGGGCAGCAGCTCCCAGGTGAGCCGGGGGGGTCCCGGCCCAGCCCATCCCGTCCCAGGGGTCCCCCCCCCGGCAGTGTCCCCTAAGCCCGGCTCAGCCGCGGTTTGGGCTGTGTCTGAGCCCTGGCCGGGGTTAAACCAGGCGAAAGCGAGACCGAAATGAGCCACGAACGGCGAAGGGAAAGCGCAGCTGCCCCCGCTTCCCCTTTCCCATCCTGTTTTCCCACGTCAGCGATTCCGGTTCTTTGCAGCCTGTGGGAGCCGAGGGGGCTGGGGGAGCTCCCCTCGAGGGGCTGCACCCCTGGCAGAGGTGCCCTTCTGTGGGGACGGACCCCTGGGGTCACCCCGTTCCCTCCAAACCTTCCATGTGCAGGAGATCCTCTGACTCCACCCTGGGCTCACCCTTGGGGTCACCCTTGGGGTGCTCGGGGTGCTGAGCAGGGTCCCGGGGGTCCCGAGGGTCCCACCCCCATTGCCACATGTCCTCCCCTCCGGTCACCTCCCAGATCCAGCTTCCAGCAGGGCCCCTGGTGACACAGCAGGGACAGGGGGGACCTGGGGACTGAGTCCAGCTCGAGGGGGGCTGCACTCCCCTCTCCCACCCCTCGCTCCCCCCTTTCCCACCCCTCGCGCCCCCCTTTGCTCCCAGATCTGCAGGAACGGCTCTCCCGGCTCCTGGAGCAGCAGGAGGAGCTCACGGTGCAGGTCCAGGAGCTGCAGAGGCAGAACCAGCACCTGCAGGCCCAGGTACCTCCCAGGTACCTCCCGGTCCCCCCGGCCGGGCAGGACCCCCCTCCTCCTCCTTCCCCGTCCCCTCCTCATCCCTGCGGCTCCTCGCTGAGCTCAGGGCAGGGGTTTGGGAGGGATGACCCCCCTCTACAGTCCCTGATGTCCCGGGGGGGTGGGCTGGGCGGGGTGGGACCCCCCAGTGAACCCGGGGCTGAGGGGGGGTCTTGTCCTGGCACAGCTGGAGCTGGAGCAGGAGGAGCAGCAGCGCCTGCGGGCGGCCCTGGGCACCAGCCAGCGGGCACTGAGGTCCTTCAAGAGAGGTGAGCGGGGTCCCCACGGCCCCTGCCCAACCCCTGGCAGCTCCCAGTGCCACCAGTGCCGCCCCGTCCTGCGAACTGGTGCAGCCAAAGACCGGGAGCTGCGGGGGGATGGCCGGGGAGGGGGTGTCCCACCCGCGGGGGCGGCTGTGCCGAGGTGTTCATGGTGGCACCGGCCCCCCCCGACCCCCGCTGTCCCCGGCAGTGTCCCAGATCATCACCCAGGATTACTGGGAGGCGCTGGAGCAGCTGGAGCTGGAGCAGGACCTGCGGCTCCACGCCGAAGCCTTCGCCCACGAGGTGCCTGCAGACCCCGAGCGGTGCTGGGGGGTGGGGGGCACCCCCGGGGGGGGGGGAGGGGGGGGGGGGGGGCTTGTCTCGGCATCCCTTGGCACCCCAGTGCTCATCCCACCGCTGGATCCCGGGCTGGGTGGGATTCTCCCGGGCACCCACCCTGGCATGAGGCCAGAGGGGGGTTTGCCCCCGGTGCCCCCAAAGCGCATTTCGGTGGTCCGGGGGTCGGTCCCTCGCTGAGCCGGCCCCGCGGGCAGATGCTGGTGCAGCAGAAGGAGGCGAACAGGCAGAGCTCGATCCTGCTGCGGGACGGGCCCGAGGCCCGGGTGGGGGCCGCGCTTCAGGAGCTGGGGCGGCTCAGCCGGGAGCTGGAGGAGACCAGGAGGGAGCAGCGACAGCGGGTGAGGGGCTGTCCCAGGGGATGGGGAGCTGTCCCAGGGGTGGGGGGCTGTCCCTGGGAGTGGGGGGATGTCCCCGGGAGTGGGGAGCTGTCCCCGAGGGTGGGGGGCTGTCCCCGGGGCTGAGGGGCTGTTCCCGGGGGTGAGGGGCTGTCCCCGGGGGTGGGGGGCTGCCCCGGGGGGGGGGGGCACACGGTGTGGGGAGCAGGACCGGTTCCCAACTCTGCTCTGGAGCTGGGGGTGGGTCCGCTGGGTGCAGGAACTGGCTGGGACCGCGATCAGACCCCTCCATCCCCGCTCCCTGTGCCCACCCTGGAGAGGTTCTTCCATGGATTTCCACCAGCGCATTTCGGGTCCCATAATGGGGCTGCCCCACACACTGGGGGCGCTCCATCACCCAGCGGGATTTGTCCTAAAAGCCGCTTGAAGTTCCTGCCAAGTGGCCGATCTGCGGGGCTGTGGCACATCCCCGCCCCGGCAGGGCCGGCCCGGGGGTCCCCCCAGCTCCGGGATCCCCCATCCCGCAGGTGGAGGAGCTGCAGGAGCAGCTGCGGATGCGGCCGGAGCCGGAGGAGCTGGATCGGGCCCGGGAAGCTCTGGCGGAGGCGGAGAAGGAGAAGCTGGAGCTGAGGAGGAGGCTGGAGGAGGCTGAGGGGCGGCTGGGGGGGCTGGAGGAGGAAGGTGGGTGCTCTGCCCCGCGCGAAGGGAGGACGGAGGTGCCCGAGGCAGGGTGGGCTCGGGCTCCGAGGGTCACCGGGCCCAATCCCACCCCATTCCAGTGGGATCCCTGCGGGAGAAGCTGGCCCGGGACCCTCCGCCACAGAACCGGACCCCCGAGCCCCCGCCGCCCCCGCCGCTGCCACCACCGGGCCCCGCTGTCCCCGTGGAGTAGGTGACATCCCGGGCACCCCGGGCACGGCCCCAGTAACCCCGGGGGCTGCCGGCGTGGGGCTGCCACGGGGAACACCGCGGGATGGGGGCAAACCTTGGCCCATCCGCCCCTCGGCTGTCCCCGAGCCGTGCCGGGCTGTCCCCGGGCTGTCCCTGAGCCGTCCCTGAGCCGTCCCTGAGCCGTGCTGTCCCTCAACTGTCCCCGGGCTGTCCCTGAGCCGTCCCTGAGCCGTCCCTGAGCCGTGCTGTCCCTCAGCTGCCCCCGAGCCATGACGGGCTGTCCCCGATCTGTGTCCCACTGTGTCCGGGCTGTCCCCGATCTGTGTCCCACTGTGTCCGGGCTGTCCCCGAGCCGTGTCCAGGCATCGCCCCCGGCGGGAGGTGCAGGATGAGGGGCTCAGTCCCCAGCAGGGTTTCGGGGGCTGGGGGTGTCTGGCCGTGCTGGGGGTCCGGCCGCCCCTCTCTGGGGGGCAGTGGGCAGGGTGGGCACGGCTGACGGGTTTGGGGTGAGGGGCAGCTCTCACCCCCCTCTCCCTTGCAGCCCCCTCGCCGCCATCAGGCTGAGGAAGGGGGTGGCAAAGCGGCAGCACAGTAAGTGCCGGGGGGCTCCCGGTGCCGGGGGGGGGCCCCACAGCGCCACGGGGACGGGGGACCCTCGGGCACGGGGAGGACGGGGTGGGAGAGGCCGATTTGGGGTTCAGGGCGCCCTGCAGACCCCGCCCCCCAAAGGAGGGTGCTCAGCACCCCTGTACCACCCAGCACAGGGGGGACATGGCCCTGGCAGGGTGGGACCACGCTGGGCCACGGCCAAGGGAGGGACCCCTGGCATGGGGGGGCTGCAGAGAGGGGGCTGTCATGAGCTTGGGGGGTCTCACCGTGGTTGTTACCTGTGCAGGCAACCTAAAAGCCCAGGAGGTCACAGCCCAGGATGTGAGAGCCCAGGATGTGAGAGCTCGGGCCGTGCAGGAGATGATGGAGCGGATCAGGAGCGGGGTGGTCCTGCGGCCAGCCAAGGACAGGGCACACCTGGGCCAGGTAGGCAGGGGTGGGTCCCAACAATGTCCCTGGGCGGTCCTGGGACTGGTTTGGGAAGCACGGGCAGCCCCAGGGAGGAGCGGGAGCAGCAGGATGAGCCCCCCTTCCCTCCCCTCCCAGGACCCGGTGGCTGAGAAGAGGAGGAGCGCGGTGCTGGAGCTGCAGGGAATCCTGGTGAGCGGCCCCGTCCCACGGGGGGACACCTCTCCCACTGCCCTGGGGGGTCCCGGTGCCCGGTGTGACCCGTCAGCCCCTCGGCCGTGTCCCAGGGTGCCATGAGGAGGCCGAGCCGGAGGTGCAGCGGGCGCCGGGGCAGCGCCAAGGGCCGGGACCGGCAGCTGGAATCCATCCTGCAGCGGCGGCGCCGGGCCGTGGATGCATCCGTGGGCACCTCCACGGGCACCTCCGTGGGCACCCGCGGCCCCCCCGCACAGGAGCAGGCCGGGGCTGTGAGCGGTCCAGCCCCCGGTACGGAGCAGGGTGGGATGCAGGGGTGGGGCGGGGTGACCCTCCTGGAGCGGGAATGTCCCCGGGGAGCGGCGCAGAGGTGACACCCAGCCCTGTCCCCTCTCTGTCCCTCCCGCTGCTTTGCTGTCCCCTCCTGTCACCGCTCCCGGGCTCCCCTCACCCCGCTCCCTCCGTCTCTTCCCAGGGAACACGGGCACGGCCCCAGCCGGGTGCCCCCCGGAGGGCAGGGACGGGGACAGGGTCCCGTTCAGGCCCCGGGTGGGTGGGGGCCTCCCCAGGACACGTCCCCCGAGCCGCCGGGCGGGAGGCAGCGGGAGCCCCGGGCAGGAGCAGCAGCAGGAGCAGGAGCAGGAACAGCTTCCCAAGGCGCTGCCAAAGCCCCCCCAGCCCCTCCCACCCTCGTTCTCCAGCACTTCCCACCCTCCCGGCCTTCAGTGAGAGCGAGGTGGCCCCGCGTGTCACGCTGTCATTGTGTGCTGGGGCAGCGGGAGGGGGCTGGGAATGGGGCTGGGAATGGGGCTGGGAACAGGACTGGGAATGGGACTGGGAATGGGGTTGGGAATGGGACTGGGAACAGGACTGGGAATGGGGCTGGGAATGGGACTGGGAATGGGGCTGGGAATGGGGACTGGGAATGGGGCTGGGAATGGGACTGGGAATGGGACTGGGAATGGGAACGGGGCTGGGAATGGGGCTAGGAATGAGGCTGGGAATGGGGCTGGAGCTGCTGCCAATGGGCCCTGCAGAGGCCTGGTGGGACCAGAGCAGGACACGGGATGGGAAGGGATGATGCTCTTCAGCCCACGCTTGGTTTTAAGCCTTGGGGTCCCCGAGAGATGGGTTTTCATGGAATTCCAGACTGGTTTGTGTTGGGAGGGACCTTAAACCCCACCCAGTCTCACCCCCTGCCATGAGCAGGGACACCTTCCACTATCCCAAGCTCTGTCTGGGCAACCTGTGCCAGGGCCTCCCCACCCTCCCAGGAGGGAATTTCTTCCCCCAATCCCCCCTGTCCCTGCCCTCCGGTCGTGGCCCTTCTCTAACACAACACGATACTAAAATCATTTATTCCCTTGGGGGTTGGAGCAGTTGGGGACAGGCAGGACTGTGGCTGCTCCCAGCATCCCCAAGGAGGGGACAGATCCCTTCCCACGGATCCGTGGTCCCCCCATTCCCTGGGAACAGCCAGGACACGCTGCTGTCACAACACTCCAGCACTTGGCTTTTTCCATCCCTTTTTTTTCCTGCTCCTCTCGAGTTGAACTGAAATATTTAAGGTGCAGAGCAACCTCCCCAGTTCCACAGCTCCTGCTCCTCCCTCTGGCCTCTCCAGGAGCACTGCCCTGTGGGAAGCAGGCATGGAGAGGCCTCACCCCTGCCTGGACAAGGCCCCTGGTGCTGGGAAAGGCGGCAAAGCCCCAGGGAGGGGCTGGGATCGCTCGGGGGGCCGGGGCTGGGGTGACTCCTCTCCTGCTTCCTGAGTGTCTCCAAATCCAGCTTTTGGGGCCATTCCCAGCCCCACCTGCTCCCACCTCTCCCTCCCCTCCCGGCTCAGCACCAGGGAAATGTCAGGGCCCAAGGAGGGAGAGTCCCCCCCGTCCTGCCCTTTCCCTGTGCCCGCTCCGTATCGAGTGAGCTCCTCTCCCCTCATTACCCCCTCCAAACATCCATGAAAATCAATGATCCCACGGGATGGGAGAGCCAGGAGCAGGCAGAGACGCCTCGGAGAGCAGCTGGCTGGGTGTTAATCCATGACTCTCAAATGGAACCATGGAATGCGGGTGGGAAGGGGCCTTGAAGTTCACCCGGTTCCACCCCCTGGGACACCTTCCACCGGCCCAGGGTGCTCCAAGCTCCGTCCAACCTGGCCTTGGACACTTCCAGGGATAGAGTACCACTTCCAGGGGTGGGGCATGATCATAATAACAATCAAACACTTCATCCAAGTGGTGACTCCCACCTTGTTTGAAGCTGGAGCACCTCCCAAACCCTGGATCGCTCCTACCTTATCCCGGTGAATAACCAGAGATTTTCCATCTTATCCCCCAAATTTCCCATGTTCCCTGCGTGTCAGGGGGATGTTTTGGCCCAAGTTGGGCTCCTGAGGGTGTGTTTCACCCCAAACCTCCCCGCTCAGGGCAGGGGATGGATCCCAGCCTGGTCTTTGCTTCCCTGTGGCCTTTCCTTCTCCTTTCCCTCGTTAAACATTTACGGGGTTACACAACTTCCCTGAAATCTGGTTCAGCTCCAGGAAAGGAGTGTCCTGAATGTGATCCAGGCAGGAAAAATGGACTTGGCAGCTGGAAAAACACAAGTAACCAACCCTGGCTCCTGGTTGAGTGGCTGGGAAAATGGGGATTACGAGGGATCAGGAGGGACACGAAGGTTCCTGATCCTCCTCCTTTCCATCCTGGTCCATCCCTCCATCCTGCCCTGGGCTCCTGTCATGGCTCTCCAGGAGTTTTCCATCCCTCCTGCATCAGGTTCAGAGGGAGAAAACCTCACCCTGCGACCTTGGAGTAAAATTCCAGCCCCTGGGCTGGACAGCAGCTTTTCCAACGTATCATTTCCTAAAAATCTCCAAAATTAATTGTTATGCACAGAGGGAGATTCCTCCCATGGCACCAACTCCATCCCTGGAAGTGTCTAAGGCCAGGCTGGACAGGGCTTGGAGCACCCTGGGAAGGAGCACCTGTGGAAGGTGTCCCTGGGTGGGATTTAAGGTCCCTTCCCCCCCCAAACCATTCCAGGATTCCAGGAATGCTCAGGAGCTGCCACATCCAGCCTCTCCAACGGGGCAAACTTCTCCCAGGAGCCATTTTCCTCAGAAGCTCCTCCCAAAGCTTTCCTGCCCTGGTGGATCCAGGGAATTCCTGTGCCCGGCTGGCGTGGGGGGATCCCGTCCTGGCACAGGCTGAAGGTGGCCAAAAACACGGAAAAAAGGGGATTTTTATGGTTACAAGGAACGAGAACAAAGGGTTCACCTCCTCCTCAGCATGAATCTTTCCCTTTGGGAAAGGAGGGGGGCCTGGAGAGCTCAGAGCTCTGGGAATGCCCAGCAGAGGCCCGGGAGAAGCTGAGGAGATTCCCATGGAGCGCAGACTTCACTCCCATGAACGGCTCCCCAGCAGCTGGAGCATCCTGGACAGTCCTGGCCAAACCAGAGAGAAAAACAGGAATTCCCAACACTAAAACCAAACCAAACCAGCAGCTGGGTCCTTCCAGGGGGGCAGGGACAGGTCCTGCCCTCGCCGTCCCTTCCCCGGGAACGTCGGAATCCTCCGGATTTATTCCAATTCCTCCTTTTCCTTTTAATTAATGGCTCTGTGTAAACCTCAGGGAAAGCTGGAGCCCGTCCTGTGCCATCCTGAGGGAGCTGCTCCCCAAAAACCCCCCAGGCACAAACACCTGGCTGGGAATTCCCACAGGTGACACTTCCCGGGGCCGGACCCTGCTCGGCTCAGCCGGAGCCCGACCTCCTCCTGGGCCACATTCCCGAGGGATCAGCAGAGCTGGAGGAGGCAGTGCCAGCCCTCCCCGTGTGTCTGGCAGCTCCAGGCGTGTCCCAGTCCATCCATTCCCAGGGAAATCCCCTCGGGAGCCAGGGGGAGGGCTGGGTGAGCTGTGGGGCCCTCGGCACAGTCTGGGGTGTCCCGGCTCCGTCCCGGCTCCGTCCCGGCTCCATCCCAGCTCTCCCAGCTCAGTAGATCTTCTGCCTGCTGGGCAGGATGGCCTCCTTGATGAAGGAGAAGATGAGCAGGATCCCGGAGCGCTTCCCTCTCTTCCCCTTGGTGAAGTAGTTGGACACCACGTCGTCTGTGGGAGGAGGGAGGGAATCACAGCCTGACGTTCCCTGGGAATGCCACGGGACCCCGGGGGGACGTCCCACTGAGCCCACCCCCGTGTTCCACCTGCTGCAGGGAGCCCAGAGCCTGAGCCCCCTTTCCTGGGATGCAGGGGGAATCCAGGGAAAGCGACAGCACCCAGGAATGCTGTGGCTCCATCCCTGGGAGTGTCCAAGGGCAGGGTGGGACGGGGCTTGGAGCAATCTGGGATAGTGGGAGGTGTCCCTGGGGTTGGAACTGGATGGGCTTTAAGGTCCCTTTTCACCCAAAACTTTCCAGGATTCCACAGTTCTGCTCTGGAGCCAGGCTGGGAGAACTGGGATTGCTCAGCCTGGAGAAGGGAAGGCTCCAGGGAGAGCTGAGAGCCCCTGGCAGGGCCTAAAGGGGCTCCAGGAGAGCTGGAGAGGGACTGGGGACAAGGCATGGAGGGACAGCACACAGGGAATGGCTTCCCACTGCCAGAGGGCAGGGAGAGATGGGATGTTGGGAAGGAATTCCTGGCTGGGAGGGTGGGGAGGCCCTAGCACAGGCTGCCCAGAGAAGCTGTGGCTGCCCCTGGATCCCTGGGAGTGTCCAAGGCCAAGCTGGACAGGGCTTGGAGCAGGCTGGGATAGTGGGAAGTGTCCCTGGGGTTGGAACCAGATGGGCTTTAAGGTCCCTTCCCAGCCATTCCATGAGCCCAGGGCTGAAGAGGTGCAGGACGGAGCCAGGATTCCCTGCCCACCTTCCCCACAGCCCCAGGAGGGAATAGGGTGCAGGGGGCACATGTGTCCCACCCTATCCCACCCTATCCCACCCCTATCCCCCCCTGTCCCCCCCTGTCCCCCCCTCACCTCCAGGCTGCACCGTGGAGGGCAGGACGTTCTCCCCGGCCGACAGTGACACGAAGAAGGCGAAGGGGATCAGCCAGAGGCAGAAGGTGAAGTAGGCCAGGACCTGTGGGCAGAGCAGCCCCAATTCCCACCTGGAGCCCGACACGGATGGGGTGGGACCTGCCCTGCAGCTCCCAGAGCCGGCCCTGCCCCGGGATCGGGGACAGGGGAAGGGCAGGAGATCCCAGAGCTCTCCTGCTCCCACTGCTGCGGAGCACAGTTAAACAGGCAGGTCACTAATCCTCCCCACGCCCTCCAGGGAAGAAAAGGAAGAGGGAAGAGCTGGGCTGGCTCCTCCTGCCCCGGGGTTCTCGTTCCCTCTAACCATAAAATGCCCTTTTTTTCCCATATTTCCCCAGGGAGGGACGAGCCCGGAGGTGCTGAGCCACCAACCAGCCTCCCCGAGCCCCAAAAAAGTGTTAAACTTCCTTAAGAGTGTCAAACTTCCTTAAAAAGATGGGGGTTTATTTATTTCGGTGACTTTTTCAGTTTGCTTTTAGAATTTGCACCAAGCAGCAGCAATGTGGGGGGGGGCCCAGAGAAGCCCCTTGGGGAACGTGGGCCTTTGCCTTGGCAAAGGATGTGAGGATGTGACACGGAATTAGAGCATAAAAGATGCAGAAGTGAGGAGCAATAGTTCCAAAAGGGAAGTGATTTGGGGTCAGATTGTAAAAAAAAATATAAAAAATAAAAAAAATAATGTTATTTTCTATTTTTCCTAGCTTTTAGGATTTTAGAAAAAAAACAAATAAGTAGGAAAATAAATAAGAAAATAATTTCTTAAAAAAAATAAATAATAAAAAAGAAATAACTCATATTTGTGCTCGGATTTGGCTGGGAAAGCTCCAAACCCACACCTGGAAGAAGAACCTGCAGCTTCCCAGGCACCTGGGAGGGAACAAGCTCAGGAACCCCCAGGGAAGGGCTGCAAAAATAACCCTGGAAGTGCTGGAGCTGCTGACCCAAAAACTGGCATTTTTCCTCCCTCCCTCCCTCCCTCCCTCCTCCCTCCCAGGAGCAGCAGGAGAACAGGGCTGAGCCCCTTCCCAAGGACTCACCTCAGAGAACAGGTAGAACTCCTCAGCAAAGAACTGGAAGGCCAGGTAGTGGTTGAGCACGACCAGCACTGCAGGGGGACGGGGGATCAGGGACCTCCCACGGGAGAATCCCAGCCCCTGGAATGGGGACAGCCCCCCCTGCCCCTTCCCACAGCCCCACACCCCCAATCCTGCTCGTCCTAAAACACTTGTAAACCCCCCCATGGGGTGAGCAGCAACCCCCAAACTCTGGTACACCCAGGGACCCCCAAACTCTGGGACACTCCAAGGCCTCAGGGACCCCCAAACTCGGGGGTGGCACTGGATGGGCTTTAAGGTCCCACCCAACCCATTCCAGGGTTCTGGAGCCCCTCTGCTCTGGAGCCAGGCTGGGAGAGCTGGGGGGGTTCCTCTGGAGAAGAGAAGGCTCCAGGGAGAGCTGAGAGCCCCTGGCAGGGCCTGAAGGGGCTCCAGGAGAGCTGGAGAGGGACTGGGGACAAGGCATGGAGGGACAGCACACAGGGAATGGCTTCCCACTGGAAAAGGGGAGATTTAAATGGGATATTGGGCAGGAATTCCTGGCTGTGAGGGTGGTGGGGCCCTGTCCCAGGTTGCCCAGAGAAGCTGTGGCTGCCCCTGGATCCCTGGCAGGGTCCAAGGCCAGGCTGGACGGGGCTTGGAGCAGCCTGGGATAGTGGGATGTGTCCCTGGGTGGGATTTAAGGTCCCTCCCAACTCAAACCAGTCTGAGTGGAAGCAGAGGGTGCCCAGGAAGCCCAGCATTCCCAGGAAAGCCCGGCATTCCCAGCTCCACACCCCCCATGCCCAGATCAATCCCAGCCACATCAGCACCTGCCATTAAAGTGCCACCCGGGGCTCAAAGTCCTTCCCGGGCAGGGACAGCAATTCCCAAACCTCTGCTGCCCCCCAGAGCCCCCCGGGGATGACCCAGAGCCCCCCAGGGATGACCCAGAGCCCCCCTGGCATGGGGGGACAAGGCTCCCCCTCCCCAGCTCCCGCTCCCACCCCCCATTTCCCCCCCTCCAGGTGGGAATTGCCCCCTCACCGCAGGACAGGATGAAGTTGGAGGAGGTGAGGACGATGAAGGGGAAGGTCTGGAGCAATCCAAAGTACACCAGGTTGGTGAAGAGCCCCACGCCCACCAGGAACCCCGGGAAGTGCTCGAACAGGTACAGCCCCACCAGCACGGCCGAGGAGAACTGTGGGGACAGGGGTCAGCCGGGGTCAGCTGGGGTCAGCCGGGGTCAGCTGGGGTCAGCTGGGGTCAGCGGGGGGGGCACAGGGATCTGCCACGGTGGGTTTTGGTGCCACATCCCCCACGTGCCTCCCACCCTGGGAGAAGGTCCCAGTGGGAATCCCGCCCTGCTCCTGGCGGGACACACCCGGATTCCCCAGCAGGTGGGACAGGGGTCACCCAGGGGTGGGGCAGCACCCCCCTGTCCCCAGGGGGGATGGGATGGGATGGGATGGGATGGCAGCAGCCCCTGCCACCCTCCCTCTGGGAATCAGGAGCTTCCCACACGCTTTTCCCCCCCATCCCACGGCACAGCTGCTCTGCCCTCCCGGGGGAGGATTTCAGCCCCAAGTCCCCCCAGAGGTCCCCCCCGGGACTCACCCAGATCATGTACTTGATGATCCTCCTGGTGACCACCGTGTACTCCTCGATCAGCTCCGCCAGGTAGTACAGCCCGGCCGCTGCGGGAACACCGGGATCAGCACCGGGAACACCGGGATCAGCACCGGGATCACCGGGATCAGCACCGGGATCAGCACCGGGATCAGCACCGGGATCAGCCTGGGGGGAGGGCACAAGGGGAATCCCCCCTCCCCAAAACAGCACAGGGGCCCTTGGGGACACCCAGGGACCCCCAGTTCCTGGGACACCCAAGTAACCCCCAGTCCCTTGGACCCCCAGGGACCTCCAAATCTCAGGGACCCCAAATCTCCGGGACTCCCAGGGACCACAAGGGACCCACAATCGCCCGGACACCAAACCTCGGGGCTCAGGGACACCCAGGGACCCCCAACCTCAGGATCGCTCTGAGGGGGCACCCAGGGACCCCCGACCCCAGGAACACCCAGGGACCCCCCAGTCCCCGGCACTCCCAGGGGGTCCCGTGCCCAGCTCGGCTCCCCCAGCCCCGGCCGCCCCCTCCCCGGCGCCTCCCTCGCGACATATCGCGACACGGCGCGGGGCGGGCCGGCCCGCCCGGGGGTCTCACCGATGGCCAGGGTGACGAAGGCCACCTGCACGAGCAGGGACAGCCAGCTGAGCGCGTACATGAACCACATGGCGGGGCCGGGCCGGGCCGCTCCCGGGGCCGCTCCCGGAGCAATCCCGGGCCCGCTCCGGGAACACGCGGCGCCGGAACCACCGAGCGGAGGGGCCGCGCCGGGCGGGCCGCCAACAGCGCCCCCTGCAGGCGCGGAGGACTCGGGGCACGGCGGCGACGGCAGGGACGGGGGGACCCCCAAATATACCGGGAACCCCGGGGTGTGGGGGATCCCTAAATGTACAGGGAACCCCGGGATGTGGGGGATCCCTAAATATACAGGGAACCCCGGGATGTGGGGGATCCCCAAATATACAGGGACCCCCGGGATGTGGGGGATCCCTAAATATACCGAGAACCCAGGGATTTGGGGGACCCCCAAATATACAGGGAACCCCGGGATGTGGGGGATCCCTAAATATACAAGGACCTCTGGGATATGGGGGACCCCCAAATATACCAAGAACCCCGGGATGTGCAGGGACTCCCAAATATACAGGGAACCCCGGGATGTGGGGGATCCCCAAATATACAGAGACTTCGGGATGTGCAGGGACTCCCAAATATACCGGGAACCCAGGGATGTGGGGGATCCCTAAATATACAGGGACCCCCGGGATGTGGGGGATCCCCAAATATACAGGGAACCTCGGGATGTGGGGGATCCCTAAATATACCGGGAACCCAGGGATATGCAGGGACCCCCAAATATACCGAGAACCCCGGGATGTGGGGGATCTCTAAATATACAGGGAACCCAGGGATGTGGGGGATCCCCAAATATACCGAGAACCTCGGGATGTGGGGGATCCCTAAATATACAGGGACCTCTGGAATATGGGGGACCCCCAAATATACAGGGAACCCCGGGATGTGGGGGATCCCTAAATATACAGGGAACCTCTGGATGTGGGGGATCCCTAAATATACCGAGAACCCCGGGATGTGCAGGGACTCCCAAATATACAGGGAACCCCGGGATGTGGGGGATCCCCAAATATACCGGGAACCCCGGGATGTGCAGGGACTCCCAAATATACAGGGAACCCCGGGATGTGAGGGACCCCGAAATATACCGGGACCCCCGGGATGTGGGGGATCCCTAAATACACAGGGACCCCTGGGATGTGCAGGGACTCCCAAATATACAGGGAACCTACGGATGTGGGGGATCCCTAAATATACCGGGAACCCAGGGATGTACAGGGACTCCCAAATATACCGGGAACCCCGGGATGTGGAGGATCCCTAAATATAACGGGAACCCAGGGATGTGGGGGATCCCTAAATATACAGGGAACCCCGGGATGTGGGGGATCCCTAAATATACAGGGAACCCCGGGATGTGAGGGACCCCCAAATACACAGGGACCCCTGGGATGTGCAGGTACCCCCAAAGTGTACAGGGACCCTCGAACTGTGCAGGGACCCCTAAAATGTGCGGGGACCCGGAAATGTGCGGGGGGGACCCCCAAAGTGTACAGGGACCCGCAAACTGTGTAGGGACCCGAAATGTGAGGGGGAGACCCCGGAATATGCAGGGACCCCCACAGTGTACGGGGACTCCCAAACCGTGGAGGTGCCCGCACCCCCAAATCGTGCAGGGACCCCGAAATGTACAGGAACCCCCGAACTGTGAGGGGACCTCGAAACTCGGGGTGACCCCAAAACGTACAGGGACCCACCCCCGAGTTGTACAGAGATACCCCCAAACCGTACAGGAACCCCCAAACCACCCAGGGACCCCTTAAATCATATGGGGACCCTGAACCATATGGAGACACCCTAAAAGCGCACAGGGACCCCCAAACCATACAGGGACCCCCTAAAACATATGGGGACCCCCAACCCTATGGGGACACCCCAAAACCGCATGGGAACCCCCAAACCTCACACGGATCCCCCCCAAACCACACAGGGACCCCCAACTCCATAGGGACCCCCAAAACTGAGTAAGTACCCCCACAAACCTTTCTGGGGACCCCCTGAAACCACCCGGGGACCCCCTTCACCTCCAAAGGAACCCCAACACACATATAGGGACCCCCACCCTGGGCTGGGACCCCCCACCCCACACAGGGACCCCAAAGGGGGATCCCCTCCCCACCCCACAGCTCAGACACCCCCCGGGGGGACCCTCAGTGCCCTCCCTGCCCTGGGGCTGCGGGGGGGGGGCAAACTGGGAGGTTCTGGGTTGGTACTGGATGGGCTGGACTGCACTGGGATGCGCTGGGAGGCACTGGGAGGCACTGGGAGGCATTGGGAGGCACTGGGAGGCACTGGGAGGCACTGGGAGGCATTGGGAGGCACTGGGAGGCACTGGGCTGTACCGGGCTGGACTGGGTTTGTACTGGTCAGGCACGAGGCTGTACTGGGCTTCCTTGGGATGTGCTGGGCCATACTGGGTTGGTACTGGGCCATACTGGGCTACACTGGGCTGTACTGGGTGGGCTGACTGGGCTGCACTGGTGCACACTGGCTGGTACTGGGCTGCACTGGGCCTGCAGGGAGGATTTTGGGGGGTGGGAGGCTGATTTTGGAGTGCTGAGGGGCCTATTTTGGGGTGCTGGGGGGCTCGTTTTGGGGTGCTGGGGGGTTGACTTCGGGGATGCTGGAATATGCCCTTTGGGGGTGCTGGGGGGGCTCATTTTTGGGGTGCAGCCCCTGCCCCCTCCCCGTA